TGAGCTTTTGGTCAGTGAATTGAAGGCCGTTGTCGGTTACCAGGGTATGCGGGATACCGAAGCGGGTGATGATATTCCTCCATCGGAATTTTTGAACTTGATGAGCTGAGATACATGCTAAGGGCTCGACTTCAATCCACTTGGTGAATAGGTCTACGGCAACGATGAGGAACTTGCACTGCCCCTTAGCAACCGGGAACGGTCCGAGTATGTCGGTCCCCCATGTGGCGAATGGCCATGCCGGCGGAATACAATGTAACTGCTCGGCCGGCTGATGGATAAGATTGCCGTGTTTCTGACATGGTTGACACTTCTTCACGAACTTTTCACAATCAGTGTTCATGGTCGGCCAGTAGTACCCGGCTCGCAAGAGTTTGGAGACGGTCGTTCGCGCACCTGAGTGCATTCCGCAAATCCCCTCGTGTACTTCCCTCAACACATAATCGACCTCGTCGGGGGCTAGGCATTTAAGTAACGGGGTAGAGAAGCCACGCTTGAACAACTGACCGACGATGACAATATACCTGGTGGCTTGAGTTCTCAATCGTTTTGCCTTGGTCGGGTCCTCCGGTGCGACTCTGTTAGTCAGAAATGTTTTAATTTCGACCCGCCAGTCTGGGGAGTTGTTGGGATTGGGGCGGTCGGCGTCGACGTTCGCCACCATTTCTGCCTCGACACTAGGGTAGTCAATCTCTTGTTGAATGATGGTTCTTAGATGGCCTGGTTTTTGGTTGCGGCTAATCTAGCCAACTGGTCGGCGCGGGTGTTGTTTTCGCGCGGGATGTGCTCGACCGACACCTCCTGAAAGTTTGCCTTCAACTTTTGGTAAGCATGGTAGTACTTCATCATGCTGTGGTCTTTAACTTGAAAGTTACCACCCACTTGCTCGGCCACCACCTTGGAGTCCGTTCGGCATTTGATCCTTGAAGCACCCATGTCCTCGGCCAACCTTAATCCGGCCAGTAAAGCTTCGTATTCGGCTTGATTGTTCGAAGCTTTGAACCGGAAACGTAATGATTGTTCTAAAGTTATCCCCTTCGGCCCCTCCAAGATTACTCCTGCCCCACTTCCCTGGCCGTTGGACGAACCGTCTACGTGGAGGGTCCACCAATGCTCCTCAAAGCGGCCTTGCGGGTGTAGTTCATTTATAAAGTCCGTCAGGCATTGTGCTTTGATCGGACCTCTCGACTTGAAAGTGATGTCGAACTGTGAGAGCTCCATTGACCAGGCCATCATCCTACCGGCAAGTTCAGGCTTGCCCAAGACCTTAGAGATCGGGCAGTCGGTATGTACAACTATTCGGTGGCTTTGGAAATAATGCCTTAGGCATCGAGAAGTATGGACCAAACCTAGTGCTACCTTCTCTATAAGCTGGTATCGGGATTCGGGGCCCTGGAGTAGTCGACTGACAAAGTACACCGGAACTTGGTTGCCCTCTTTTTCTTGTACCAGAACCGAGCTGATCGCTTCCTCCGAGACAGCTAAGTACACTTGAAGTGAGCACGATAGGTCGGGTCTCATCAGGGTCGGTGGTGACGCCAAAGTTGCTTTCAGCGCCGTGAAGGCTTCTTCACACGTCTCATTCCACGAGAAGGCCGAAGCCTTCCGTAAAAGCTTGGTCATCGGGCTGATCTTGTCGGCTAAGCAGGGGAGGAATCGGGACAATGCGACTAACCTTCCGGAGAGCCGTTGCATTTCCTTGAGGTTGCTCAGACTTCGCATATCTAAGACAGCTCGGCACTTATCTCGGTTGGCCTCTATCCTTCTAGTCGATAGCATGAATCCCAAAAATTTCCCTCCTTTGACTCCGAAGGTGCACTTTTCGGGATTGAGCCTCATGTTATGCTTGCGTAGCTCTCCGAAGATTTCAGCCAGGTCTGCTAGGTGATCAGCCACCGAGTTCGACTTCACCACCATGTCGTCGACATAGATTTCAATGTTGCGACCTATCTGCCTCTGAAACACCTTATCCATCAGCCTTTGGTAGGTTGCGCCAGCGTTTTTCAGTCCGAACGGCATGACTTTGTAACAAAAGTTGGCATTCTCGGTGATGAACGCCGTCTTTTCCTCATCGGCCGGGTGCATTTTTATCTGGTTATAACCGGAATAGGCGTTGAGGAAGGTAAAAATGGAGTGCCCGGACGCGCCGTCGACCAACCGATCAATGCAAGGGAGTGGATAAACGTCCTTTGGGCAGGCCTTTTTGAGGTCGGTGTAGTCGGTGCACATTCTCCACTTCCCACTTGACTTCTTGACCAACACCGACTACACCGACCTCAACAAGGCTTGCTAAAATCATAGTTTGGTGTGTAGAGTTAAGTATGGAGCTCAGAAGCTTAGAGTTTTCTCCTTCCTCTTCCTCTTTTCCAGATTGATTCTAAGGTAAGAGAAGTTAGAAATTTGTTTGGTTGTTTTGGATTGAGTTGCATATTGATGAGTTGTTATCAAAATGATGATTGTGTTGGTTGAGTTATTGTTGAATGATGGAATTTGAGGTTTTGTCCATATGAGACAAGTTGAGGGAGGCAGATGACTCAATCTTAATTCAAGTTGCATGTGCCTTTTTTGGTTGTAATTGGTTGAGAATTGACATATGTGGTTGATATCTTGTGTTGCATGTTGGATATTTCTAGATTTCAATTAGATTGAGGAGATTTTCAAAGTCTACATTTGCAAATTTTTGATATCATGTTGGATGCGCTTTCTTGGTACTTAGCATAGTTCAAGCTAGAGCTTTCTATCTCGTCCATGTCGAGCAAAGGATTGGTGGCATCAATCATGAGGAGAGAGACTCATCTCAAGTTGGGATGATGTTGAGCATCATTTGAATGGTGTCAAGCATGAGAGCCTTGGAAAGTATCTGACTTAGTGATGCTAGCCCCCAAATTGGGTGGTTGTAAGCATGATCAAGGCAAAGGCGCTTTGCTTAGATGACGTTGGATACTAGTAAGGTGACGTCGAGCATGAGTCAAGTAGAGGTTATCTTCCTAATATGAGGTTCGACGCGGATTTTGTCACGTTAGGTGTAAAGTTCCAAGGGTTCCCTATCTTAGTCATGCCAATCGTGGGTTGAGTGGCACCAGGGGTGGACGGGGTAGAGAGCTCCCTACCATAGTGGCGTCGGGCACAAGGTAAGTTGCATCGAGCTCTGGTTATGTTGATTATACATGTTATTTGAGGGGTGAATTAGTGAACATGAATAGAATATTTGAGTCTATTGCATGTATGATGTATGATGAATGTTGAGTCTATATATATTGACTTGTGATGATATATGTAGATGTGATAAGATATATTATGATGGTGAGCATTGATATGCTATATGTGAGAAATATGATATAGTTGCATGCTTGAAGTGTGAATAGTCATTGGTATATACTATTATTGAATAAGTCATCGAGCATTGGTATGTTAATAATGATTTGTGTGTGATTTGATCTCTATATACATTGACCTAAGGTAATATATATAAATGATGTATGTTGAGGCATTGATGTTGAGAATGTTGTAGGCATTATAGCATGTTGATTGGCTTAGGATTAGAGGAGAGGTTGTTGTTTGAAAGTTGAAGATCCCATATAGACAATCTTGTTTCGGCGCTCTAAAAGGCCAATTGTTGAAAACCCTCCATGAGTAGGTGTGAAACTCTTGAAGTGAATTTTGTTGAGTCTCCTCTAGGTCCTTTGTCAATATGGAGTAAAGTATGAAGTCGATGGCTACATCCCTTAATTGATTACTAGAAAGGTTGCATGGTTCCTTGTAGATAGTTAGTGGGCTAACTCCATATGTGACTTGGTAATACATGTCAAGGTTGTGATACGTCTATACACAACCATACTAGTTTTGACAATGGAATTGGACTTTCTTAATGTAAGTGGCGATACACACAAAATCAAAAGTAGGGATTGATATCTCATTTTAGTTGTCGATCTAGTAGTCATGCACATTAGGTGTGAATGTGATCGAGTTGATTCAATAAGATCAAGCCACTTAGACTGTTTAAGTGTATTAGGATATCTCCATAGGTGAATATGTGATAATGCATTAGTTATTGAATATGCATATGATATGGTTTGAGTTGTGATTAATGTTCATATGCATTGGATGAACATATTGTTGCACTAAATGATTGTGGTGAATGTTTGATTGATTAGGTGTTTTAGCTTTCAAACATATCGATTGTTGTGGGATCTGAACCCTATGGTGTGATTGCTTGGTTAGCATGATGAAGTTGGGTATAAATGTTCCTTCCTATGCTTGTATGTTTTTGAAAGCTAGCCTAACGTTGCATGTTTTCCATATGCTGTGAACCACGATAATCATGGTTTTCATAGGAGTAGGGCAATGTTAGTCAAAGCAGGTTCTTGGAGCGACTATGGGCCACACTGGTGGCGGTGTAGCTAACATCTACCTTTGGAAGGTTTGTATAGTTGTATTTGATCGACACTTAGGATTTTATATTATTTTTATACTAGATGATTGTACATGTACTAGATATATTTTGTAGAGTTGTTTTTAATTATTTATATATATACACACACATGTTATAGTGTGCACATCCATTTATTTCAAGCATAAATCCTTCGGTATAAGATAATTTCGTTGCTAGTAGTTGTGATTTGTAAGTGTGATGACTATGGTGGGTCATTACATTTTGCATGAATTATTATGTGGGAATTATTAAAGACAAAAATTAATAACTTGATTGATCTGAGTAAAATTGAACTCAAATTCTTTAAGGTCTCAGTTTTTAACCTTATAAATGAAAAATATAATCAGGAGGAGAAACTCCACTAAAGATGACAAAACATAATTTTTGACAAAAATTAGATACTTTGTACCAATAACTTAATAACCTAAAAGACCAATCAATATCATCCTATCTAGATTTTAAGGTTGCACTATTGTGTTCAAGATAAAAGACCATCACTAATAAGAAATAAAGATTGTTAAAAACAAGCAAATGGTATCATTAAACAAGTAGATAAAGAAAAACTCACCTTTGAATGAAGAAGGAACCACAACAACATGCATGTCAGTGTTATTAGGAGGTAGTTGTAAATGAAGAGGATAAAGTTTTGCATTCAAGGGATTGCGACAACACACGAGAATATCATCAAGTCCTGTTTCTTCCTTCAATTTATCCTTTAACTCATTCACACAACTTCCTTTAAATGTAAAGAATGCCTCTTTCTTTGAATCATCAATTTCACCATTTTCATTACCCACGTCATAAAATATAATTCTTCCTTCTTTTATTGGTGACAAACACTCAAACAAATCATCACGCTGCATATGAAAAGGAAAACAAAATAACTATTGTATAGAAATAAAGGTGTTTTTAATTTCAATACCTTGACTTTGAAATATTAGTGTATATTTCACTTAGTCTCGGTGAACAAAAAAATTGAATCATTAGTATTTGTATAACATTAATGTATCCTTGGCTTTTTTTTTTAACTTCTAAATATAGTAAGATACATATTCATATGCTAATTTGTGTATTTATGTGAAGGAAAAACATTACTATTGTTTTCTTTACTTTGAAAAATTCTTAAAGATGAAATTTTTGTAGTATTGATGGAGACTTGCAAGGAAAGTAAGGAGAAATTATTATTAAAGAATTTTTTATTGAAAAGTTTTGAAATTTGAACCACATAACAATGTTAGGAAAATTACTTCAAATACATTAAAGCTAAATAATATGAACTAAATGAATAAAAATATTGCTTATAATATATTGAAACACTCCAACATGCATTTATTTTAATAATAAAGAATATATATTTATGAAGAATACATGGTGTTGCTGTGTGGCAAAAGATACAAATGACTATATTGCAAGGTCAATGAATGGTGAATTGATAATAAATTTCGTACAAAATTAATATATGTCATTATCATTTATAATATATGCAATTATTTTTTTAAAAGAATATTATCTTATTGCATAATTTGTTTTATTAATAATTATAGCAAATTTTTTTATATATTGCAATTTATTATAGTGCAAAACAATAATCAAATTTAGCCGTAAACTTTTTCAAGAAACTAATTAAGAAAATATTAAAAGTATAAAAATAAATATATGAAAGAAAAAAAAATAGTTTAAAAAGTAACTGCATACAATTATTATATGTATTTAACTAATATAAATGACTTAATATAACAAGTCTTTTTATCTCTTTTTTATATTGAAAAACATCATATAACTACAAATTAATTTATCTTTTAAAATTAAACATTCATCATTAATTATTACCCTTTTATTATGATGATATGATTCTTTTTTTTGGAACAATGAAAAAGTTATGTAGAGGAAACATACAAAGAACAAATGATTTTGTATTTCCCTTTCTATTATCGTATTGCTTGGAAACAATACACCAACTTAATGCCATGAGAAACTCCAATACATCTATTAAGTCATGCACAAAACTAAAAATTTAGGAGAATCTTCCATTTTCTCAAGAATTTCTTGTTAAAATCTCTATAGTTAAGATGATTATAAATTTTTAGACATGAATCATGAATCATCTCCAGTTGAAAACATGAGATAAAAGGTGACACAATTCAATCTATTTTCATATTTTTCAATCTCATATGTGATGTCTTAAAAAAGAATTTCATGGTAAAGATTCTCTGCTTTTTTTTTCGATAATTTGTGTGACGAACCTCAGATGTTGTAGGGGACCTAAGATCAATCTTGACAAGGGAATCCATATCTGAAATTAATGGAGAAGAACAGGGTGAAAGATCTCTTGGGGTTGGATTCATAGAACGATTGGGTGGGGTAATAGGTGTAGGCCTTGATTTAGGTTTGGGAGGTTGTTTTTGTGGGCGAAGCTCCACTATATCCACATCCCATAAAACCCAATTAGCTTTTGATGTTCTGTGTGGGACATCATGGGTGATGGTGTTCCTCCAAGGTGGAAACCCTCCATTACCACGCAAGTATTGTCCATAACGTGTCCTTAGCCTCACTTGAACCCCTTCTCTTATGGGTTCCCATTCCACAGAAGAATTCAACCTAGTAGGCATTGTTTGCAACACTTTTTTGCCTGTGCCTCTCAATATGAATGGCATGTTGGAGGCTGTTAAGTATTTCCCATAACAACTCTTCAACCTTATGACATTGGAATTCTCCAGAATCTCCACGGTCCATTTAGCATTATTATTGCACCCATTGCGGTCTTGGAAAACATTTTCTTGATCATCATCAGCCAACATGTATTTATCATGGTGGCTTCTCAAGCGTACCACTTTGGCTTTTTGGAAGAATTCCATTCAAAGGGTTATTGTTGATGAGCAAAAAAATGGAGATTGTGATGCAAGGAATTGGAGGCAAGAAGGTAAGAATGAAGAAGGGGATATTAATTAAAGTAGAAAAAGGGTGAAGTTGGAATGTAGAATTTGTGTGCATGACATGTAAATTATGCATAATAAAGTCATCCATGTCTAATTAGAGTAAGGGTAGCCAATTATGTATTGAATAAGTCATTCTAAACGATGTTAAAGTTGTTAGTTGTTACAAGAAGTTCACTTCTCTATGCGTGCACAACCAAGATTTAGTGCTTATTATATTATAAGATAAATTAACTAAAATTTGCAGTGAACATGGAAGGAAACCATTCATTGATGAGTAATGATTAAGTGTATATTTAACAGAAAATTAATTCAATTTTATATATTATATAGTTATTTTTTTTATCCAAACATTTTGGTTAACAGGATCATTAAATTTTACATCTTGAACATATATAGATACACATATTAAAAATATATAATAGTTACAATGTTAATCGGTACAAAAAAATAATTTGAAAAAGACCTTTGATTTCTATCTTTTTCCTTTTTATTGTATATAAATAAACTTTTTTATTTTATCTTTTTCATTCCTTTTTGAACAAAAGAAATTTTGACATTAGATTTCTACCTAGTTTTCCTTTATTGTAATATATAATTAAATTATTTTTTTGTACAAAAAATTATACATATTTATATCTTCTAATTTAACTTTATACTTAATATCTTTTAGAGTATTTGATGTGTCCTCCTTTTGCATCATGTTTTAAGATTATTTTGCATGAATTTTATGTTAGTTTTAAGATTTCTCTGGTCATTATTTGCTTAATTTTTCTTCTTTAGGTCTTTTATAGCATTAAATTGTGTTTTGTGATTTTAGGTGAAGTTGCTTGTGGAGTGAATTACGACAAGACGAATCAAAATGTTCACAACTCAAGTTCTCGTAATGTGAAAGAGGTGATCTTGGTGGTCATGAAAAACTTGAAAAAAATTGCATTTTTTTTAATGTAGAAACTCATATTCAATTCAATGTGGATCACAAAGGAAATTGTTCTTAAATTTGACGTTGAAATTTTGTGTAAATTGTCTGACATAGGTTCAATAGCTTGGACATATCTAAAGTTATAAGAGTGGAAACAATGCAAAATTAGTGTCAACGTTTTAAAGAAAAAAATCATCTACAACTTTTATAAGAACACACCAAGTTAATAATTCCAATTATTGACCTTTATTTTGGCCACGCACATGATGCATAATACAACATTCCTATTTTTGTGTTTTAATTGTAATAGGCATGAGCTCATTTTAGGTCCTTAGGTTAAATTAGACATTTTAGATTTTTTTTAAGTCCTCGATCTAAAGAAATCCTAATGGGGTGGCAACTCTAGGCAGTGGATTAACGATTATATTTCATTTTCTATTCTTTTTCTATCTTAGTTTGAATATTCCTTCTTTCCTTTATTGTATGATTATTCTTCCTCTCCTATTCTTCTTCTATCCTAGTTTGAATGTTTCTTCTTCCTTTATTGTTTACTCCATGACTATGGATGAATATTCACTTTAGTTTTAGAATTGGCATAGATCTTTGATGTCTTTAATGGATTTGCAATCTTTATTACTAAATGTGAAGTTTGTTTCCCATTTTTGATTTTTTTTCTTATTGAACTTAATCATGCCAAGAGTTTGACCATTCATTGGAACCTTAGGGGAAGAGCTTAGACCATAAAAGGAAGTTTAACCCTTCAAGAAATCAATGAATTAATAGAGTGTAATGAGTTTAATTAAACATAACTATTATAAAAGTATAAGTCAAATTCAGTTAGATATATCTTCATGTCTTGAAAAGAAATGAAGATATTAATCTAGATAAACTCACCTTTTAAATTGGAATCAATTGGAACATGTTAATAATAAAGGTTAATTGGTTAATTATCACCAAGTGAATCTCAAACGTGAAAATCCTTTATTTATATTGATTTTTCTTGTTTTAATATTTTTGTTTTCTTTTTATTTTCTCATAACCTCTTTATCTGAATCCTCTTTATTATTTTTTTTCAATCAAATAAAATATATTCCTTTATGTTCTTGAAGCATGATAAATTGATAATTATAAAATATAATTCATGTGATCGAATATGATATTTTCATTTTTTGATGACAATTGTATACTTGTGATCTTCCCTGTCAAGTATCAACTTTTAGGATCACCTCTACCACATTACGAAAATTTGAGTAATGATACTTCAATCCCTCTTATTCTGGCTTACTCAACAGACAATTTCACTTAAAATCACAAAAACACATCAATTGAATAAAAAGTCTTAAACATGACAAATTAAGCAAATAATGATTGAATGATTCTTAAAACTAACATAAAATGTAGGCAAAACAATCTTATAACATGATGCAGAGAAGACACGTCAATCTTCTTATGAAGGACATTTAATCGTAGTGTTTTGCTCAAAAACATTATACTCATCCTAATTTATCTTAGTATTATGTTTGCTTCTTAATTAATACATTTTTTTCATGTATTTTAAAATCCAAATTTACTTTAGAATCGTGTTTTCTTCTTAACTAATACAATTTTTAATACATTTTTAATTAAATAGGAATTAAGTAATATTTAAAATTTGACTCATGCGAAAGATGTGCCTTTTTTTTTACTCTATTGGCGGTGCTAGCTTAGTAATAGGTTTTATTATTTATAGGAAAACTTAAGATTGTGTATAGAATTAATTGGTGACCAAGGAATGGGGTTTAGAGAAATTGTACAAATAATATTATATTGTAATGAGAAAAGGTTACGGGTTTAAATGAAAAAAAAAAAAGGAATTATTTATTTTACGAGTTTGATTATTTTAGGCAACTCGCGTTTTTATTATTTGATTATAAGAAAACTACTTTTATGAGTTATGCTTTTATGACATGTAAAGCATGAGTATCATAGAAAATTAGAAATTATTAAGAGATATTTTTAGGAGAGAGCATCTAGTTTTGATTACATTGAAATTTGAGAGTGAAATAATTAATTACATGAAATGATGGGAATTAGACAAATTGTACAGATAAATATTATATTGTATATAGAAAAGGATGAGTTATAATAAAATGAAAAAAAAATCAAAATATTATTTTCATGTGAGTTATTTATTACTTTTTTCTAACTCATGTTTTTGTTGTTTGGTTATAAAGAAATTGAAAATTCTTAGTAGCACGCTCTTGTAAACACATTTTTTTTATTTTGTTGAAATTTATTAAAAAATAAAAAATTTAATAAATTTTATATTTTATTTAATGATTCTTACTTTTAATTATGTAGTTTTTAATAAATTCTGACAATGAAGATAAATGTATTAAAAGAAGTGTATTACTAGTATTTTTCTAAGAAAATTATATATATATA